TGAAGACAGCCAGGATCTAGGAAAAATAGATACCAGTGAAGGACAAGGGAGTATATAGAGGGAGGAACCCAACGAAGAGTCTCTGCTGACTTATTCTGACATACAAAGTCCATGAAGGAAAGGACTCACTGGTGAGTCCCATCTTGCCCACAATTACCTGCACAAAGTAGACTTGGGAATGAATGAAGTCAGGATGCAAGTGTGTTTGGAAAGCAGCTGGTTCCTAAGTGAGACTGCAGGCCTGCAGGTGGATCAGGGAAAGAGGTACACCTGTTTGGCTGAAACCCCTCCCCCCCTCGCCCTCACAAAACAATAGACTACTAGAGACTGAAGAACAACACAAGTGCTAACAAACCTGAGGATCTGAATAAATCTCTAGCTTTCATCTCAACTTTACTTCCCATGTGGTGCTTTTGGGTACATATTGATTCTTGGTGTTTTACTCTTATCATTGTAAATCAGCTATACCTGTATTTTCCCCTTACTTAACTTTCTTAAGGCTGTTAACTGCATTTATAAATGTAAAGGACATACTAAGGAAATGGCTTCATCTTCCAAGTCATTATTTTATTTCAAGATGAAATAAAGATTACCAATTACTAATACCCATATGAATACATATTTACTCTGAAAACATTACTATTTATGATTGCTTTGTCTTTAAAGAAACTACTGCCAAGTAGTATTTGCTGTAATCTAAAGCCTAAGTCGATATGAGTCTGATTATTATACTTTTTCTCATTTAGGAGCATATCATAAACTTAAAAATACAAAATAATATTAGGCTCTGATAAAATTTTCTAATATGGTAGTAAGTCATTTTGAGGTTCTGTTATTTAGCAAAATATACATATACTAGGAAAAACATTATTTCTAAAGTTGTCATAATACATTTTACCATATAGTTTTGAAATACTCTGCATGAAGTTTTTGATCTTCACTAGGGTAGAAATTTTATACTTATATGGCTTTTTAAAAATTCTATATAGATTATTAATTTCTGAAAGAAAAAAATAAGATTATCAAGAGCTTTACTAGGTCAATAAATATTATTTCATGATTTTTCAGTGATAACAAAATGTATATTACGTCAAAGAATCATCAACTTGAAACATTTATAACTTTAGCAATGTGACATTTTGAAAGTAAAATTAGTATTTTGGCTTTTTCAAATCCATAAATGCCATGGGAATTTTATCATGTTTCAGCACTTGCTGGATCTATAATTCCCACAGTGCCCATTAGTGGCCATCTGTGTAAGGTAATACATGTTTGCGATGAAATTGATTACAGCATAAACATTTGTATGTTATGATCAGGAAAAGCACATAAAGTTCACATCTTTTTTTTAAATGATCATTATGAGGCAAAGCAGCCAGTTACCCAAGATCCTAATCAAATCATAAATGACTGCAGAGCCAAAGGAAAGGAGGCTCCAGACCAGGACTACAACTAGGAAATGCTGTACTCTAGAGATGATAGATAAAAAGGAAAAGGAATCAATTTTGCAACAGTTTTTTTCCTTTCCAGGCATCAGAGTAGTTTCACTGCAGTTTTACCAAGTGTCCAGAAAGGTTTCATTCCCCTTCTTAGAAGTTCCATACATCACAGCCATGACCACATTCCAAGTTAATTTACTTGTGACTTTTCTCAGCCTGCATACATAGCTGGTTCTAGCTCTGTGTTATTTTAATTTATTTTTTCCTGGTCCCAAAAATGTTTCCTTTTGAACCTGTTCCATAAAGCCGAGTACTTTCCCTCTTTCAGATATGTTTTTAGCATGATCTCCCCAGTGAGACATTTTATTTCACTAGATATGTGCCTGGTACTATATACCTGTATGCTTCCACAACTCACATCTCCCCATAGAGCAGAGTTAGGGAATATAAAAATACATTTGTTCATGTATTTCGACAACTTTGCTTTCACATTATCTAGACACCCTAGAGTTTTGTAAAATCATTGTACAAAAACTAATTTTTGGTTTAGAAAAATTTGAGGGTTTGTATTTCTGAGTTATCCCCCTGATCATTAAAATCTTATTAACTTCTTGCATATTTACAATTTGGATGCAGCTTTATTCTGATCTTCCCTGGGAGGTAGGCTAAAATGACTTAGCTGCAAATCCCCCAAACGTGACTGAAAGAAATGATGAAATTATTGTCACCCCATGGTGTGTGTGTCAGTTATTAAGGATTAGTTTTCAGCTTTCTTGATCTCATCATTTATATACTTTGTATTAGTGACACCATCCAATATTTTATCTTTCTCCTTATTTTGCTTAGCATTACTCTTTCCAGCTCTGTTCATGTTACTACAAATGATAGGAGTTTCCCTTTTTGATAGCTGAGTAGTATTTCATTGTGTATATACCACGTCTTCTTGATCCACTCATCACTTCTGGGGCAATTGTGTTGTTTACCTAGCTTAGTTATAGTAAGTAGAGCTGCAATAAACATGGGAGTGAAAGTTGCCTTTGGAATTAGTGTTTTTTAAATTTTTTGGATACATGCCTAGGAGTGGAATTACTAGGTCAAGTCGTAGATCCGTATTTAATGTTTTGAGATACTGCCTTACTGCTTTTAATAAAAGCTGAGCCAGTTTGAATAATGCTATCTTTTTTAAGAAGGAAACTTGCCTTCCTGTCTTATGTATTACATGCTAAGAAGTCATACATCAAAGTCTATCTAATTGCTATATAGGTTACTTGGAATATATTGAAAAGAAAATGGTGTGGGTTGTGACAATAATAATTTTTTCTCTTTTCCATTTATTTTATCATCAAACATACTGAATACTGACTGTCAATATTCTAGAGGTACTTTATGAAGATGAATAATAAATACATGGCTTCTATTCTCAAAAAAAAGTCTCAAATTATACAACTTATCTTAATATGTTAATAAAGATATATAAAGATGAGAAAAATTCTGTCAGAGTATAGCAGAAAGGAAAACTTGTTTTAAAAAGGAAAAGAAATCTTGAAAGAATCACCCACTTTTGAGTTTGGTTTTATAGGTTAAGCTAAATTTCACATGGCAAAGCAGTGTAGAAATGTATGTATAAGCCTGTATGTTTGCACATAAACACACATATAGACAAACATTAACATATGTACATGCCCTGGTGTTTTTAAGCATTGTGGAAGGATGTAGCTGTTGAACTAAACACTCATACCAATTCCACTTCTGCTTGTCACATCCACTGCAGACACTGGAAACTAAATACTAATAGCTAGGGATGGCAGTGTGATACAGTTGGCTGTATTTTGATAAATGCTGAGAACATTTTGAAACACATTTGCTTTTCAAATAAGAGGTAACTATAGGTGGTAGTACCCCCGATTCTTATCTTCATCATGATTTGTTATAGCTGAGACATCCATCTTGAGACTTTGAGAGATCCCGTGGAGAATGAGTTGAGATATGATTGCAGCATCAGTTATCACCCACAACTACTTACTTTAATCCAATACTTACTGTAAGGAAAACTTAATCTTTAAACCCTATTATTAGTCATATTTTTCTATAAATTGTTGCTAAAATATCTCTACCACATGCAAAACTCCACATGTGTGCATACACATACTCATATGTGTGTATATACTCAGTTTTACTTTTCATGCCTGCCAAGATTTAGAACTGATTTAAGACTTCCATTTTAGGCAAAAAATAAATAGAATTTATGTTAGTAGAAGGATTAAAAAACAGAATGCCTTCTCTTTGTTATTATCAACACTAACACTCTCCTTAGTATATAATCCTGCTTGTATTCATTTTTCCCTTAGCCAATTTTTTTAAAGGTTTATTTATGTATACAGAACTGGGGTACAAGCCAGAGGAGCAGGGCGATGAGAGGATTCACCAGAGATAGAGCAAGGTGCAGAACAGTTAGATCAACGAAGTACAGTATTGAGGGGTCAGCTGGTGAGACAGAAGAGGTCATCTGCCAGTCTGCTATGCCATGTGGGTCACCTCACTGGCCAGGATCTAACTGGTGCTGAAGTGGCAGTAGCTAGCCTGATAGTGCTGTGCTCCAACCCATTGTGCCACCACCCCACCCTTTGCTATTTTAAATAAAAAATTAAGGCAAGAGAATAGGTTGAGAGGACAGATAAATGTTGTACCATATTGTGCTGAAGGTTAGGCTAAGAGAAAACCAGAGGGTCAGTTGATGGACTTACAGACCACTTTCAGGGAGGTACCTAGTCAGGGACATTGCTTGTTCAAACAGCAGGAAGAAAGGTTTAAGTCTTACTTCATCACTGTGCCTCCTGTGTAATTAGAGTCATAAACTCCATTACCTATGTCCATTTAACAATCAGCCTAACAGACCAAACATGTTTTCTTCTTACTTTTAGGAAGATGAAAGAAGTAGACTCTAGTCTTTGCTCTGAGCAAAGAACAACATTTCACATAACATACTGGTTGTGCTTGGTCTCATATGAAATATACCATGTAATGAGCAAGAGATCCTTAGTAGACTCCGACATCCCATACAGAAACATGGAGCAGTGTGAAAATATTCACTTTATTCATTCTTAGAGATGAATACTCTCACTTGATTTACTGCGATTTTCTTCATCATTTCTAATTGTATCGGGTCTATATATTTCCTTACACTGCATCAAATTACAGTTTCATAGTATCAGTATATAACTCTTTTCAAATAGGTCAACAGGATTGTTTCCTTTGTTATAGCTTTTATTGATTGTTATAGCTTTTATGGATTTTTAATATTTTTTCATAGTAACTACCTGTTCTGTTTTAATTGATTTCTTTTTTTAATTTCACACATATGTGTGTGTGTGTTAAAATCCATTCCTTAGAAAGGGTGGGATGTAATGACAGGTCATTTTAGGGAGGCTCAGTCTCACACCAGAAGTACTTGAGGGAAGTCAGTGAGCCTTGAAAGAAAAAATTCAACTGGATAGTTGCAATTTATTTTGAAGCCCATGCACTAACATTTGGTTTAAAATATTGCTGTTTCTCTTCCCCTAGAATCTGCAACTACTGGGAGCTACAGCCATTGAGGATCGATTACAAGATCAAGTGCCTGAAACTATAGAAACGCTGATGAAAGCAGACATTAAAATCTGGATCCTTACAGGGGACAAACAAGAAACAGCCATCAACATTGGTAATTCACCCAATTCTATCTTTAAATTGTGATTTTTTTAAAAAAAAAGGTGTATATATTTTAGAAGATGAAATTTCAAAGGTTTGGAGTCTTAATGTTTCCATGTTAGCATTATTGGGCTTATTTCTTTCTTTATGGCCCATGGCCCTTTTACATTGCCAACATTAGTTATACCGCCAAGCTTTAGCTCTTGAAATGACACAGATCCCTTTCCCATCTACTATCTCTACAAACCACCACTTTCTAGCCATAGATGACAAGGATTGATGACATTTTTGCAGTTGTCTGTGAAAGTCTGGGATGGGTTATGGCAACCTGGCTGTTGACACTTGTTTATGTGGCTAAAGGTTATTTCTGAGACAGAAAGAAGAAGGTTGCCAGTTTTCACTCATCCTAAAGTTCTCATTTTTTTGGAAAGAGATTATACTAGTCCACGTGGGCTGCCATCACAGAATACCACAGACTGGATGACTTCAACAACAGATATTTATTTTCTCATTTTTCTGGAGGCTGGAAGTCTAAGACAAGATCAAGGCGTTGGCAGGTTTGGTTTCTCCTGAGGCCTTCCTTCCAGACTACAGACCACTGCCTCCTTGAGTGTCCTCACATGCCCTTTTCTCTGTGGAGCCCACTCTGGCTTCTCTTCCTCCTTTTATAAGGAACCAGCCCTATTGGGTTAGGGCCCACGCTTATAACCTTAAATAGCTTTTATTATCTCCTAAAGGCCCTGTCTCCACATGATATTCTCATATTGTTGGGGGCAGTATGGGGGGGTGGGAGGACAGGAGCAGAGCAGAGAGGGTGGCTAAAACTACAACAGATGAACTGGAGGACAGGAACAAAATTCAATCCATAACAGAAAAAAAAATTAGTATTTGGCAATTGAAGACTGCAATAGCAATAATATGCAGGGAAAACAGTACTTTACCCCTATGTTTAATAATAGATGACTGTCTGAGCACTAAAATCCCTGATAAAGATTCATTCTCTGGTATAAATTACATATAAAACACTCCCACATTGAAGGACAATTTCAGGGGCATTTGGGAGATGAAAACATATTTTTTCAGAAAATGGATTGTTTTACAATCCCAGAGACAGTTAGCCACAATCCCTTCTTGAGGGATTAGTGATTATACTATTCTGTCTATAAAACTACTACAAGTTTATAATAAATTGATATTGTTAATGGAGATGTTTTGGCTTGTTTTTATAACACTGGCTTATAGAAGTTTAAACCTACCAACCACACATGTTGTTAATCTTGATTATGAAAATTTTTGCTGGTGTTGCAACACAATGGAAAGATGTACAAGAATTCAGAATGCACTCAAATGGTAAGACTTGAAAATACAAATGTGATAAAAACAATATAACTAGAGAGGGAAATATATGCTGTGTGAGCAAAGGAAGCAGTTCTGAGAGAGCTCAGGTACGACACTTTGTGAAAGCAACTGTGAAGAGAAGACTGTGTGCTCGTCTCTGGCAATGAAGTAGGGAAAATGCATCCTTTCAGCAAATGGTTCTGGTGCCCACAGTGCCTAGACTGCCAGGTACCCTTTAAGAACATAATCCCAAATCCCTGCTTGATGGTGCCTATGTTCTAGAGAGGGAACATGGCATAGTGGGAAAAACACATCAATGTTTAGTATATTAGACACTAAAAAAACACACAGTATGTTAGATGGCGATCATTGCTGTAAAGAAAAATAAAGCAGGAAAGGGGGTTCGGGTTTCAAATCAGAGGTCAAGAGGAACTCACTGAGAGTGTGACATTTGAGGAAGATCTGAAATAGGGGAGGGGGACCTGTCACATGGGTGAATAAGGGAAAACTGTCTTCTGCCCTAGAGAGAAAGCAGAACTGCCCAGGAGAGAGGAGAAGAGGTCATCAGCATCACAGAACCCAGTGGCCGGGACCTCCCCAGCTGTAGTGCAGATTCTGCTTTCACTCTAAACGAGATAAGAAACTGTTGGTTCTTATCTGATAACAAAAACAGATGATTCTCAACCAAGGAAAGGCATCACCTGACTTTCTGTGCCAATGGTCCTCTGTGTTCCAGACTAAGGGGAGCTGAAGGAAAGTGAGGGTGGAAACAGAGTTGGCTGTTACAGTGATCCAGTGACACACAGTGGCAGGTTGGACCCAGGCGTGATGAAGAAGGAAGAAATGGCTGGGTTCTGAGCATGTTTCACCAGTAAAGACAACAGGTTGGGCTGAAAATTCAGGTGTAGAGTGTGAGAGAAAGAAAGGCATTGGCAATAACTCTAAGAATTTCTAATCTTAGCATGGAAAGGTAGGGCTTCCTATTACAAAAATCAGGGAGTCTGAAGGAGGAGCAGGTCTACATGGGTTTAAGGGCTTCCTGGGCATCAGGAAGCTAGGTTTTAGATGTATTCAGTTTGAAATATCTATTTTACACCTAGGTTAAATAGGCACTGGAATGTGAGAGTCGGGAGTTCGGGAAAGAGGCTTGATTTGGGATATGAGTTCCAGAGTGATCTAAATTTCTGTGTGTTTAAAACTACTCGCTGAGGCCCTCCCTGGTGGCGCAGCGGGTTAATGCACTGCACTGAGAAGCTAAAGCCACTTCCACATGAGTTCGATTCCCGCCTGCCCCGGAGGTGGCCACATGGCGTGGCAGACCTCTCCTGACCCGCCCTCTGCTCCTGTTCTGCTCCCGACTCTGTCTCTGGTGAAGCCTCTCGCCACCCCTGAGCCTCTGGCCTGTACCCCAGTTCTGTATGTACAAATAAATAAATCTTAAAAAAAAAAAAAAACTACTCGCAGAAGCAGACCACAGAGGGCATGCGCGTGACTTTCCCCAGCAGTGTTCAGTTAGGTACAGAGTAGGTAGAGTTGGGTTTAACCATTGAGTGCGTTTGCCCTGAAGTACAGCAGAGCAAGCAAGGCAGGTGACCCGAGCACATGTTGACAGTGGGATCAGTGTCCCAGAGTGAGCTCGACACCCTTGCACCCATTCCAGAATCAGCCATTGCCCTTCTCCCACTCTCCATAGTGCTCATCGGGAATATTCCTGACACATTTGTCTGTTTTCAAGACATTGGGAATCTTTGCCACATCTCCCTCTCCACACATACTGGGATGTAGGGCAGCCTCTAGATCCCAGATGCTCCCTTCTGCCTTCACCCTCCTATAACAAGCAAGAGCGTTTCTTATTTAACATCCTGTAAACCTGGCAAACAGCTAGCTACCATCTTTCCTAATAAAATGATCGAAATCTCATCCTGTCTAAACAAGTTAAAATTTACATATTTGCATTGGAGTATCACTTTAATATCTTTAGCTCTTCTTGTTAGAGAAATTCATTGTATCAATAAATTTATTCTTTCTTTGCACATAGGACACTCCTGCAAGCTTTTGAGGAAGAACATGGGCATGATTGTTATAAATGAAGGCTCTCTTGATGTAAGTAAAAGTATCTTCTGAATTAAAATATTTTATGACTTAATCAATATAGGTCTTTTATACTCAGATAGCTATGAAAAATGTTTTATCTTTCTGGAATGAAAAGATACTTCATTAGTACTAGTCTGCTGTACATAACTTGCAGTGTTTTAAACTACTTTGTGGTAGATATATTTCAGCTTTGTATCTGGGACAACTAAAAAAAATTGTTTCATCTTGCAAGATGAAGATCTGCTTTATAAAAGTATTATGTCAGGAGATGGCTGGATGGATATAACTTGTTTCTGTCTATCTAGGTATTTTGTATATTAAGCACTTAGTACCTTCACTAGTTTCTAGTGTCAATATATATACTGCTACTTTAAAAATATTTGAAAGCCACAGGACAATCCAAAACAACCATTTATAATAAGAAAACTGTTTGTTTGTTTTCATGTCCTAACTTGTAGACTGAAAAATCAATTTCTGGGCTGGCTCTTTCATGGCCTGTGATCATATGAAGTTATATTTGAGAAAGGAGGAAAGATTTGTTAGGAGTGCAGGGGAAAATAGAAGTTGACAAATAAAATATCCAGGTCAAATAACCTGTATATATTTTGAAGTAACAATGACTAATTTAAGGTGGAAGACAAAACAGGAGAGGTGATTATTCAGCTACTGGAAATAGGCACGGTGACACTTGAGCAGAAAAAAGCTGATAATTAGGGATGATGGTAAATCCAAGAGGCCAGGTGTATGGAAGGGACAGTAAGAAGGCCTCTGTTTAGAAGTCAAATATGGCAAAGAAATATTTGACTTAAGACTTTTAAGTTAGATTGATGATCGCTCAATGATTTGTCCTCAAAACCCTTGTGTTACTTTTCCCTTCTTGTGAAAGTTTTGAGCAATTTGTAGCCTGTAGAATAATACATGATTTTGCAACCATGAGCGTTGCTTATGCCTTTAATCATCAGAGTAGTAATTTCTGTGAACCATGCTTTAATCCTGAAAACACAAATCAAAAACAAAGACAAAAAAAGTCAGCCTGTGGTTAGGAGGCTTTCCTTTTTGTTCACTCAGCATGCTCTCTGCTAGGCACTGGGAACACACCACTTACCAACATCAAAGACTCTTCCTATAGCTAGCTGCTTCTGCATTCTCCAGCCCTCATGTGTGTTAATGTTGGTTACTATGTTTTGAAAAGTTATGATTAATAATGCAGCCCTGCCCTCCAAATGCTTACAAATAAGGCAAGTAAAATGCATACAGGCAGCAAATCAAAAAAGATATATAAATAATATAGGTAGCTTGCTACGAAAATATTGTGAAGTTTGGGGGAAAAAATTATAAAGCTCATGACATTGAGTTAGAAAGAAGTAGGTAATTGAATAAAGGAGGAGTACTAATACAGAAGGTTACTGCTGGTGAGTTCAAGGCATGCTCTGGGTATGAAGAGGAACCTTGACCTAAACACAAGCTTAAAAGTCTTAACCTTGTGTTTTTAATTTAAAGACAGTCGATAATGTCAAAATCAAGTGGGAAAAGTACAGATGATAAGAAGTAAATATCTTTCCTTAAGCCCAGAATGCACAGTTTACCTCCTCAGGGATCACCACTAGTTCCCATCCGGTGTTTTCATCTGGAAGAAGTCCAGGACATATATATGTATCCCACCCTTTGTTGATAAACACAAATTTCTGCATACTATTCACATTACTTTTTTATATGTGGCTTTTTCACTTAGTGTATCTTAGCCATTGCTCTGTAATTGTATATATGAAGCTCCCTGATTATTTTTTAATTTTGGCACAGTATTTGTAGATACCTATAGAGAATTCACAGAGGTGCTAAAACTGGTTACTGTGCAAAGTTGAGCTGAGGTTGAGAAATCACCTTCACAAAGAGGACAAACTTCATCAGTCTCTTAAAAGAGGCATGCTATGTCAAAGCAATTGTACACAGACAAGTTTGGAACGATAGGGAGGTTGGGATGCAGGCAGAGGAACATGAGAAGAGTTGGATAAGAGGAAATAGGGCACCAGCAATACCGAATGAGAGCCATTGGGCGAGACTTATCCCATGTGGGCCTAGAGCCATCAAAGGTGATTCAAAAACTGTGGTGCAGCTGCTCACACCATTACCAAAACATCAGTGGAAGCGTTCCAACAGTCTCTAGATTTTTAGGCCGTTCAGCAACATGAATGGCGTACTATTTCTCTGACACTTGAAGTAATCAGAGAAAGAACCTGCAAGGTTGAAGCCAAAGCATGATAAGATGTGATGATTTGACATGTGATCCCTTGGTCTGGATGTGGGTTCCCCCATGATAGCATTGCTGCTGCTATTTTCATCTCTTTCACCATTTTTCTCCAACTCTTGAAAAACAAGTGACATAAATAGTAATCTCAAGGGAGAATGAGAAAAGTAGAGGACCAAAACCTTTCGATGTACTCCATCATGTATTAATACACTGGCATTTCATTTGGAAGTTTCCAGATGATAATCAAAATAGTAAATACCTCAAAAATACTTGCACTTCCTGTTTCTATTGGCATTTTCTCAGGATAATACTGTTTCAGTGAATGCAGGGACCATGTCTGTCTGTTTTGGTTAATATTCTCTCAATGGCCAGCTGCACCTACTAAGTCACTGAATAAATTTAAACTTAAGGCTTCTTTTTAAAAAGTTGTATATCAGTTTTCAATTTAGTTGTAATTGATCATTTCTGACATTTTAAAAGTACAGTGATTAGAAATGTCCTTAGTGATTCAAGTGACAGTTTGATGTAGAAGATACAGGCAAACACTTGGCTGAATGGATTAACGCTAATTTCTCCAGCTCAGCACAGCCAGTCATTCTTACTCTGCTGTCTGGGGACGCTTTTTCTCCCTGGGAGTTAAGTGGTGACTTTACAAATCTGGCTGTTTGGGGTCAGACCTGCTGTGGTGCACTCATTTGCTTCTCAGCAGGAAGGGAAACATCACTTTGCATAGTTCCTTCAGATCTTATGTCATAAAACCCACAGCAGCAGAGATTTCAGGCAAATCATTAGCCAGAATGCCTGTAGGTAAATCAGTATTATTTTTTCATTGCCATAGCGAAGGAAAGCATCTAATGTATTCAAATTGTACTGATAATAGTAAAACACAGTATTACCATTCCACCAGCACAAAAAAAAAATAATTAACATTTAGGTAATAAACTTGGGAACATAATGTCTTAGGACATCATATAAGGGGAAATAAATCATGGGAGTGTGTTTTGTCAAGTGACAATTTTAATGAATGTACTCGAATTACTATGTGAAATAGCACCATGGTGAAGAGCACAGTTCTTTTATCTGACTGTGGGAATCTGGGTGAATTGCAATTAGATAACTTCCCAAAGCCAGTTTTGCTGCCTGTAGAGTAAAGATTATGGGATTGGTATGGTTAGCACAAGGCATGGCACTTAGAAAAAGCAGATGTTATGAAATTTTGTAGAAAGTTGTTCTTCATCATTGCATAACGCAGCTTACAAAAGATAGTTTTCCCTTCTTTTAAGTTCTCATCTAAGGGAATAAGTTATGACTATAGACTGTCCTTTGTGTAGATGATGTATATAGCTATGACCTATTTAATGTTCTACCAAACTATTATGTCTACTCATGTTAAAAATTTTAATCTGGATGTCTTTCTTTATGTTAAATTTGTGCAAATAAAGTATCACGTTTGAGACTGTTGAAATTCCAAATAGAAAACCCGTTCTCCTTCTGATCATGAAACTAGAAATCTTTGTCTTCCCATCAAACATATCTCAAAAATTTTTTCACTTGGCTTTCTAATTTTCTGGTTTGGAGTTTTAATATGATTATCAATCTTGAAAACTTAATGACTTTTAGCATTTTTGGAAAAAATAAACATATAAAATTGAAAATGAAATAAACAGAATGGGAAGTCTTGCTCTATAGCTCTAATAGGGAAATCCAGTGGGTATTGCTGTCGCTGCCCATCTCCAGCGATGTTTATAGCAAAAGCTACCCCACCTCTACCATTATGCCCAGGAGCAAAGTTGAGAATACTCAGCCAGTTACCTCCCAAGTCACTGTCAAATATTGACAGTATTAGCAAAAGAATTTGTTAGAAAACTTTTTCACATTGTTTAAATTTAGAAAGTAAGGAATTAGTGGGAAGATACCATTAAGAATCACTTAAAGTTGGTCAAATTCTGTTACATATTTGTAACAAAATAGATGATTTCAAAAATATATGTAGTGTTTTGTTGTTTTTTTTATCATGCTGCTTTGAACCACTGAATAAGGGGTTCAGACTATGTTCTTGGTATGGGACATTTCCTCAAGGTTTTGCAAAACCAGAAACTTCAAAGTTTTATTTTTGAAAGTATGTATACTTGTCCCCTAACTCACAGCAGTGTACAGGAAAAATACCCCACAAACTTCTCAGAAACCCCTTCCACTAACCACTTGGTGACTTAAAGCCAGAGGATTCTTCTAGAATCTCTTTTGTCTTTAGTTTGTCATAAAGTAATTTCTCTAAAGCTTATCTCTTAAACATGGAGACATCTGAAAATGTGAGCTAATAACTACGGAATCTCACACTGTGACCTAGCTTTAGCATTCAAATTATACTAAAACAGTCTAGAGGACTGAGTTTATATTACATTAAGGGAGCGTGATTTTTATATTATTCAAGTTCCATAAAATTTTATGTATTTCTGGAACTATCTTCATGTAACTCAAAATAATTTTTTGAATCAGTCAATATACTCTAACTTTCTTGTAAAAGATAGCAAAATTGTGAAGACTTATTTCACTGACATAGCTCAAGATTTCACCACTCCTTTCTCTATCAAGTTTAGGGTGGGTGAGAGAGACAGTAATTTCTGAGGTGCCAAAACAATCTTTTATGTGTCTCACATGGAATACCTTTTAACCTTGGTCTCTCCTCCTTCTAGCTTGTCTTTTACATGGGGGTTGTGTGATCTCCCCTGAGAAATAGGACTGAATCTTAAATCCACCCTTA